TTTTAAAAACATAAAATAGCATTGCAAAAAGTAACATGTATGTAAGCCTTAGTAACATTAGAACACCATTTTTAATGTCTGTTTAGAAGTACTATAATTTATTTGTATAAATTCTCTTATCAATGAGTTTTTAGATTGCTTCATACTCCTAACAACTCTGGGCTGAATATCTCATGTCCATTTGAAGGGGATCAGAATATGCCACCCCAAAATATGCCACTTTGGCATAAGGATTATTTTGAGTTGAAGGCATTTGAAATAGATGCAGAAAAGGCTCCCTGCCCTCCTCCTTCCTACCTAAAAGCAGGACATAAATTTCCCATGAGAAAGGAGTCCTGCCTGTACCAGGAGATGGAGAGCCAAGGCCAAGATGAATCTGTACAAACAAATCTTACTACAGTAATCCTTATCTTCCATTAGTTTCCCCCATATATTTACTTTCCCACAATTTACTGCCCCGAGAAGTTCGAACTCCTTTTGTCTTATCCCATCTCTCAAATTTATCACTCTTTGTTAAAAATGGTATATAAGCTCTCAGGCCTAATGGCTTCTTTGGGGTTTTTACTTCATTTCTGTGAGCCCCCCCCCAATATACATATTAAATAAAGTTTTTTCTCCTTTAATCTATCTTCTGTCAGTTTAGTTTGTCCCAGGGCCTCAGACACTGAACCTAAGAGAATAGAGGGAAAAGGTTTTTTCCTCCCCTACATCATTTTTTTTTTTTAAGATTATTTATTTTTAGAAAGAGAGGAAGAGCGTGTACTCGCCTTACGTGGAGCTCGATCTCACAACCCATGAGATCATGACCTGAGCCAAAATCAAGAGTCAGATGGATGCTCAACCAATTGAACCACCCAGGCACCCCACCCCTATATTATCTTTGTCTATACATCCAGTTATTTCCCTGGACTAAAGTTGCCTGTCACATTTTTGACATTGATACTTATTGCCCAAGTGCACTTAAAAAGACTATAGACAGGGGTGCCTGGGTGGCTCGATCGGTTAAGTATCTGGCTTCCCCTCCGGGTTTGATCTCAGGGTCCTGGGATGAAGCCCTGGGATGGAGTGTTTTGGGCTTCACACTCAGCAGGGAGTCTGCTATCTCCCCCTCCCTCTGCTCATGCTCTCTCTCTCTCTCTAAGTTAATAAATAAATAAAATCTTAGAAAAAGTAAAATAGCTAACATTGTAAAAAAAGAGATATTCACGCCTACTCTCAAGGTATATGTATACAGTCTAATGAGCCTAATTGTTTTCTTAGACTTAAATCCCACTGCTTCATGAAGGCTTCAACTTCTATTCACCACCATCTCTTTTCCTTTTGTGAAATTCTTTCCACCTTGGGTCTGCAGCACTTTGCAGCTGAGTACTTCACTGTTCTCTTGTTAATTCATTAAAGAAAGAAAGAAAGTGGGGGGGGGAGAAAAAAATAGAAATCCCAGCTTTTATTAGTGCCTGGTCCTATGTAAGGCAGTAGAGATGCAAATATGAATTAGACCAAGTCATCACCTTCTAAGAACTCACAGTCCAGTGGGCATCTAAACCTTGATGTTAAATACATCCTGTGAGTAGTTGTGGGGTGGGATGGGGGATTTCAAAAATGGGTATATTCCTGCTTACAGTCTGACAGAAGAACAGCACTGGCATAGTAAATGGTGTCTGTTCATGAGCCTGTGGCAGTAAATAATGAAAGAGGTCCTCAAATACACATTCCTTCCAGCAGTGTGGGACTGTCATTACAAAAGCAGAGCAAATTCCCCACTAAAAGTACCACTTCTTATTCATCCCAGTAGCTATACCATTTGACCCACATAGGTCAGGAAATGTTTGTTGAATGGTGGAGGAATGAATAAATTCACAATTGATAAAGACTTCTTACTATAAGCAAGGAAAAACCAAACTTTTAAGTATTTACAATCTCCCCACATCTAAAGAGGGCAGATCCTCCTGAAGATGCCTTTGTTTTGACGATGGAGTGGGGAAGTTTGGGAGAGAATGATAGGGAAAAAACGTCCTCTATTATAAAGGGAAAGAAAAATCCAGGCAAACAGCTAGGAAGGAGGTAGGAGTTCGGGAGAGCAGAGCACGATATGGAGAGATGTGGCAATTGCAAAAGGGGGGGATATGTTTTTAAGATTTTAAAAAAGTCTGCTGTGTGATTTGTGATGTAACTCCCTTCCCTCTCTCCCCAAGAAAACATCAGTTCAAAAAAAAAGTGCACTCTTTTGTGTCTTTAGAGTGTGGTCAGGACTTGTCTTTTGAATGTGGGAAGGTATCAAGGCGAGCTCAAGGGTGGAAACAGGCTAAGAGCAGAGACAGTCAGGGAGGCCCAGGGTCATTCGTTGTTTACACACAGCTTGTGTGTTCAAGGATCACGGAATAGAACTTTCCGAGTCCGAGCTGTTACTAGGTTGGCCAAGGGGGAGAGAGGCGAACACAAAATTGTTGGGGGATTACAGCGGTGGGGAAGAGCCAGGATGATTTAATCTGGCTCCAGAAGGGGTGGGTTGTGGGGAAGTAGTAATTCTCAGCACGTTTGCTCAGTCCAGTGCCGGGCACCTAACAGGAGCAAGGAATGTATGTGCCGACGGATGGGATCATACGGGATAAAGGAGGGGACGGTTACGGCAATCGGTGAGTCAGGATTTGTTGCCCCATTGCAGAGATGAAGGCAATGAGGCCCGAAGGTGATTCCATCCAAGCCTCCCCGAGCTCAGGGCGGAGCCAATCCCTCTCAGTCTCCACTCCTGCTTCCCCCGCACCGTGGTCCCACCGCAGCTCGCGCCGGCACCCCGACTCCGCCCCCCCACCGTACACTTCCGGATTCCGCTCCGCCCACCCGGGGGTACTTCCGGTCTCCGGCACCGGAAGTCGCATTCCTGAGTCGTGGAGCGGTGAGTCCATGGCCCGGGGGCCCACGGAAGCAGTCCTTGGGCGGGGCAGTAGCGGGTCAGGTGGCAGCGGGCACTTATTCCTCGGGTCACCACCGGACATCACGCGGCAGCCACTTCCCTGGCAAAGGCCTGTGGCTGACGTTACTTCCGGGGCATGTGCAGGCAGGAGAAGGCCGGAAGTGGCTCCAGTCCCACTCGGTGGCGGGGCGGAGTCAATGAGGGTCTTTTCGGTGTTTCCGTGTTTCGTTCTGGAGCACCTGGGAGTTTAGGAGGGTGCCCTGGGTAGAGAGTGGCTGGTTAGCAAATACAAATACAGGACGTCCAGTTAAATTTTAATTTCAGATAAGCAACAAATAATTATTTAGTGTAGGTATGTTCAAATATTGTATGGAACATACTTATATTTTAAATTCCTTGTTTATCTCAAGTTCAAATTTAACTGGACGTCCTGTATTTTAACTGCCAACCTTAGCCTTGAAGACTCCCCATTCTCACCCCCCCCCTTTCCTTGGGCCCTGGTATACCGTGACAAGGCTGGGATCCTCTAGGCTTGTGTCCATCTGGGAAACAGGTACAGAGTTCACCCAGGCTGTCAAGCTGTTGCTAGATTCTAAGCTGCTTTTGGTTCCTAGCCCAATGGGGCCAGTCCCAGGGGCTTCCTGGCAAAAAATTTTCCGAGTCCCCATGGCGGCACCCTCAGTGTTCCCTTTCAGGGCTGGAGTCAGGCAGTATTGGTCTTACGGGAAAGCTGAGAACCATGCTGGCTAAGTGACTGAGGGCTACACATTGTTAGGTTTTTTGAGTGTGGGATAAAGTGTTTGGGGTTCAGGTTTTCTGTGTTAACAGTGGGCAGCTTCGGAGAGGCCAAGGATGTCAAGGGGAGAGCACTAGTCTTACTTTCATCCCACCTCTCATTTTGACATGAGGCCCAGTGAAAGAAAAGGAGCTGTCTTTGTGGTAGAGCTGGAGCCTGATTCCCAGCCTCCTTCCCCTGCTCTGTCCACGCTTGCTGCTGCAGTCAGCCGGTGGTATTTATGGTGGGCATCACTAAAGTGGATGCCTTTTTTAGAGATGATCTCTTTGGGGCTTCATTGTTCCTGAACTCTTTTACAGCCTCCTGACCTTCACCCCAAGTCTTTAGCCTTTACCTTGCCCAGTGGGAAAATGACTATTTGGCCTCAGCTGTGGGAGGCTGGCCTTTCCTGCTCTAGACACTTGGCTCTCACTCCTGTGGGCGTGTGACCCAAGACTTGTTAAGTGAGAGCGAAAGGCGTTTTCTTGGCAGGGCTGGGTCTGGCGAGCCAAATAGGTAGAAGGGTATCCTTTTCTGTCCAGCTTGGGCCCCATGATATGTGGCTTCAATGTAGTGTCTAGGGACTTCTCTAAGGTTCCAGCATGAGCCAGTCTTTGCTGCCGTTTCTCGTTTGAACCTGAACCTTTTGCTGAACTGGCCTTGAGTGCTGGGATTCCGCAGGCTGTGTGTTCTGAGGATGTGCTCTGAGCCTGCCTATCAGTGCTCCTGTGAGCCTACAGCCTCCCCACACAGACCTAGCCTTCCCAGGCTCCCAGCCCAGATCCGCGAGCTAATGACATAGAGCAGGCTGCAGGTCATCAGGCTCGGGGTCAGTCGGTGGGACAGCCAGCAGCCTCTTGGCAACAGAAGTGGTAAAGAGGCAAGGAAGGAGTGCCAGAAAGGGCTGTTGCCCCTGGAGGAGCGCTCAGAAGTGCAGGGGGTGGAAAAGGGGTGGGGCAGGAGCCCACTGGTAGGAATTGTTCCCTCTGTGAATGATTAACTCTCCGGCCAGAGCGGGTGGCCTAGGGGTAGGGCTCAGCTAACAGGACCTTTGGACTCAGGACAGAGTGTCCAGAGGACCAGAGGATAGCCTGCAGAAGAAGAGGACATGGTAGGTGGCAGGCTTGGTCTCTGAGAACTGGAGTGAGATCAGGCAGCTGAGGGCCTCAGAAAGTCTTGGCCTGGCAGTTGGCCCACTGCAGCAGCCACTGTGGGGTCCAGTGGCCCCAAGCCCTCAGAGAGGTGGTTGTGGGGGGGTGGGGTGGGTCTGTCTCTGGTCTTGCAGCAGCCTCACTAGTGCTTTCTTCCCCCTAGGCAGCCATGGGTGCCCGGTGGTGCTGAGAGCAGTGGGGCATGGCTGCAGTCCTGCAGGTTCTGCCCTGTGTGGCCCGAGCCCCCTTGCGCCCGCTCCTCTCGGGGGGCCCAGTGGTCCGGCAGGCCAGTGGCATGGCCCTGGCAGAGCAGGCTCAGCAGCTCTTCGAGAGCACTGTGGGTGCCGTGCTCCCAGGCCCCATGCTGCACCGGGCACTGTCCTTGGATCCCAGCGGCGGGCTGCTGAAGGTGCGGGATCGGAGCTTTCAGCTGCGGCAAAACCTCCACCTGGTGGGCTTTGGCAAGGCTGTGCTGGGCATGGCCGCTGCAGCTGAGGAGCTCCTGGGCCAGCATCTCGTGCAGGGTGTGATCAGCGTGCCCAAGGGGATCCGAGCTGCCATGGAGCGTGCTGGCAAGCAGTAAGGAGCCTTGGGGGGCTGCTGCCCGCTGTCCCCAGGTGGGGGGGAAGCGAGGCCCAAACTCAGCGCTGGATCAGGCAGGCCTCCCTCCCTCACCAGCATCCCTTTTCTTCTGGGTCTGGACTGGCTCCGGGATGGGTGTCAGTTGGCATTCTTCACCTATACAGCTGAGAAATCAGGTGGGAGAGGAGGAACCTGCCCCATCTCTTGCTGTCTGTTCTCATTCTCTCTCTCTCTCTTCAGGGAGATGCTGCTGAAGCCACACAGCCGTGTCCAGGTATTCGAGGGTGCAGAAGACAACCTGCCAGACCGTGATGCACTTCGGGCTGCACTGGCCATCCGGCAGCTGGCTGAAGGTCTCACAGCTGACGATCTGCTGCTTGTACTCATCTCAGGTGTGGGTGCCAGATTGGCTCAGGACAGTTTAGGGGGCGGCAGCGGTGGTCCCAAATACCAGGTTTGCGAGAGATGGTTGGTCTGAGCCCCCAGGGTCACAGAGCAAGGGAGGCAGTAAAGAGCCTGGATGGCTGACCTCTGGGTGGCCCTGGGCAGGTTATCTGGCCTCCTCAGAGCTGGGGGTCCTCCCCAGAATGACCTTGTTTGGCGATCATAAGAGGGCATATAGGGAGCATATAATTCAGGGTGTTGCAGGGGTAAAACATCCCTGCTGTTTCTGTTATCTGTGCCAGTGTGATCGGGGGTTGGAACCCAGGTCTCTGGCTCCCAGCGGAGCCCATCCTTGGTCTCGGTGTCTCCTCCTGGTCTACCCCCTGTTCCAAGCTCTTAATGAATAGTTCTTCTAGTGCCTGCTGGGACCTGGGCTCCAAGGCAGGGCACAGCCCAGGGTGTGGTGACTGTATGCATGGTCCCTGCATGTCCACACGGGGGCACCCTAACCCCACCTTTCCAGCAGCCCCTTCGCTAATGTGGGTACTGCCTGCTTGCTTCCTTAAGTGGGGAGGTTCCTTTGCAGTCTTACCCTCTCTGGCCAATTTCTTCACTGTCTCTGCAGGTGGGGGCTCAGCCTTGCTGCCCGCGCCTATCCCCCCCGTGACACTGGAGGAAAAGCAGACACTCACCAAGCTGCTGGCAGCCCGTGGGGCCAACATCCAGGAACTGAACACCATCCGGAAAGCGCTGTCTCAGCTCAAGGGTGGGGGGCTGGCGCAGGCCGCCTACCCTGCCCAGGTGCGTGGGTCCTTGCTACCCTAGGCAGCCCTGGGCTGCTGGAGCCAGACCACACGTGCCAGGGAGACAAAAGCCTGGAACGGCATACAAATTGGCAGGGGCCCAGCGTAGGAATCCACGGGGCTGGCTGGGAGGGGCCTCCGAGCGGATGGGGGTGGGGTGTCCAAATGGCACGTGTTCTGCAGACCCCCTGGAGAGGGGTTAGGAAAGGGTGAGGAAACGCACTGGGCCGTCTGAGGCTGTGCGGACACATGGCAGGGGATGGGTAGCTGCTTGTTCTCGATGGCTGTGGGGTGAGGACCCGGAGGGACTGAGCCTTGCCTCTGCGCCACCTCCCCAGGTGGTGAGCCTGATTCTGTCAGATGTGGTGGGGGACCCGGTGGAGGTGATTGCCAGCGGCCCCACGGTGGCCAGCGTCCACAACGTGCAAGATTGCCTGCACATCCTCAATCGCTACGGCCTTCGTGCAGCCCTGCCACGTTCTGTGAAGACTGTGCTGGCTCGGGCTGACTCTGACCCTCACGGGCCACACACCTGTGGCCACGTGCTCAACGTGATCATCGGCTCTAACGCACTGGCACTGGCTGAGGCCCAGCGGCGGGCCGAGGCACTGGGGTACCGGGCCGTGGTGCTGAGCGCAGCCATACGGGGCGGTGTGAAAAGCGTGGCCCGGTTCTACGGTCTGCTCGCCCAAGTGGCTGGAGCCCACCTCACCCCGCCTGGGACTGCAGCCTCCATGGAGCAGGAGGAACAACTCCACGAGCTGGCAGCTGAGCTCCAGCTCCCAGACCTGCGGCTAAAGGAGGCTCTGGAGACCGTGGTGGGGGCTGGGGGCCCCGTCTGCCTACTGGCTGGTGGCGAGCCCACTGTGCAGTTGCAGGGCTCGGGAAAGGGTGGCCGGAACCAGGAACTGGCTCTGCGTGTTGGAGCAGAGCTGGGACGGTGGCCACCGGGGCCTGTAGATGTGCTGTTTTTGAGTGGTGGCACCGATGGGCAGGATGGGCCCACGGAGGCAGCCGGGGCGTGGGTCGTGCCTGAGCTTGCCAGCCAGGCTGCCACTGAGGGCCTGGACGTGGCCTCCTTCCTATCCCGCAATGACTCACATACCTTCTTCCGCTGCTTCCGCGGCGGGGTGCACCTGCTGCACACGGGGCTGACTGGCACCAACGTCATGGATGCCCACCTCCTGTTGCTGCGGCCGCGGTGATGGTGTAGGTCATGTTTTAGGAGTACAGAGGAGACCTACGGGGTAGTAGCCTGGGGCAGACCAGAGTTGGTCCCCAAGGCCTCAGCAGGCCTGAGGGCCCCTTCTCTCCTTGGTTCTGGCTGCCTGGGCGACCCTGACACCTCATACCCAGGGCCTCTGCTCTGTGTTCGTTCCCCCAGCCAGACTGGCAGATGGGGGCTCTCTCCTCTCCCCCCTTTCTGCCATGACAGCAGCTAACCCTGAGGACTGGGATGAGCCCCTTGGCCCGTTTGCTATTCTTGGTCTTCCCCAACAGTGGGCAGCCCCTCTGCCAAGCTCTTGAGTGTCTTTTCTGTGGGGTGAAGCGAGGACTGCAAATAAAAAGAACCACACTATGGGTTCTCCGTGTGTTTTCCCTCAGAGCAAAGACTCCGAGCTGCCGGGAAAAGGAGTGGGGTCAGGCTGCAGCCCCAGCTCTAGGACTCCACAGGGGTTCCCCATACCCTTCTCTGAAGGACACACACAGCACCTGTCTCACTGAAACAGGAGCTGAGGAAGGTTGAGCCTGGCTTTGTCACACTCAGTGTGGGCCAGCAGAGACCCCTGGGAGGAGAGGCCGAAGGACTGCGGTCTGTGGGGTCTGAGCGGGACAGGCCACCTGTCCAACTGTGACTCCCTTGTGGCATCCCTGTTGCAGTCTCCAGACTCTGCTGCAAACCTTGCTGGGTACAAGCCCACTAGCCACTAAGGCTGTCCTCGCCTTCTGTATTCGGACAGCCCTTAGGGACAGACCACACCGTTGGTTGAGCTGCCCTTTGTGTATCCAGGGGCTATTCCGAGCCACACAGGATTCTGGACCTTGTTTCCTTGTGTCAGGCCCATTTTCTCATGCTGAACATCCCAGTTTCTTTAGCTGCTTCTTTGGGACACAGTGCGGTTCCTGGTACCAGCCTTGCAGTGGGGGTCTCCAGTGCTGAGATGGTGGGTCAGAGTACTGAGGGGGTCCAGCAGCCCCCTGCGCACCCCCCTGTTACTGTTGGCTAGGGAGGAGGTCAGTGGGGAAGAGAGCAACAGAGGAAAGGTTCCCTCGGCTAGCCTAGCGGCCTGTGCTGGGAGAGGGCGGGGCTGCTGTCCTACCTCTGTCCGGGCCCCCTTGCTCAGGATCCCAGCCCTCCGTTGGCCGCCCCCGCCGTACGCCACGGCTCCAATCCCTATATGAGTGAGCAGTAAAATCACATAGGAATAAAAAGCCATAGAGAACAGCGAGGCCTGGGGCTGCTCCTGCTGGCCCCTCCTCCAGCCCAGCTGTGCCCTCCCCTCAGGGTGTGAGGGGCTCGGACCGGGGCTGGCACATCCTCCCCCGGGGAAGAGTCTCCCTTACCCACTTGGGCTCTGGACAGCCCGGCTTGCAGATGGCTCATGACCTGGGGACAAGGCGAGGTGAGTCATGTGAGCCAGGCCCTGGAGGTCAGGGAAGTTTAGGGAAGAGGGGAGTTGGCACCCTTCTGATGCAGGGCACCGCTTCCTTCCCTTCTGTACCGGCACAGAGTTTCCACTGACTGCGGGGTCATAGTCTAGGGGGTATGGTCCCTACGTGGAAGTACCTGTGCCCTGTTCCTCCTCTGACAACCTCCTGTTTCAGTCCTTGCCCTCGGGAGCAAGAGCATTAGCGCGGGGTGTCAAGTTCCAGGCAAGAGCAGGACAGGAGGGCAGGGCCTGCGGCAGAGTACTTGTCTCTCCTGTCCACAGTGTGTGTGTGTGTTGGGGGGGTAGCATGTGAGCACACACATGTGGGTGGCCAGGGGTAGGGCCAGGCTGCTGCTTGTGCACTAGGCCGCTTACATGCCTGCCGAGGGGTTTGGGTGTGGGTGGGGTCTTGCCAGACGGTACCCCTGTGTCCCTTTGGCCCTTGCCCTATGCCTATGTTTGTGGGGCTGGGAGGCCAGGGCCTGGATTGGGCCTAACCCATTAGCTTTGCTCATTTGGTATCCCCAAGATGAGAACAGATATATTTGGCCTCAATCTAGACGAAAATATGAGATAAACGCTGCATGGTGAGTGTTCAATAGGACTTATTATTTGCTCCATAAATTTCAATTATGGATCATAATAATTGTTCCCATCCTGTGGCTCTTGGCTTCTGTCTCTCCTGGCTCAGTTTCCTCTTGCCCTTGCGCCCACCTCATTTCCATTCCCTGAAGCTTTCCCAGCCCACCTGGAGGCTTTTGCCATGCATTGTGCCCAGCCCCCCCTCACTGCTGCCACCTTTACAGGCCCTTCCATTCTCTCTACTTGGCACGAACTAAAAAGAGCTGGGCGGTGGGCCTGGACAGCCCTTAGGTATCAGCTAATCCAAGTCCTCTTATTTTATAGCCGGAGAAATAGAGAGGGAAGGTGGCTTGCCTGGGGCTGCCCAGCAAGTCTGCCGCAGAATCAGCAAGCCTGGTCGGGACCTGCTTGCCCACCCTGTGGGTCTCAGAGACCCTGGGGCCCAGAGAGAGCTCAGCCAGAGTCAGGGATCCCCTCTTGCCTCCCCGCTGCCCCTCAAGGGCTTGGGGATGGTGACGTGACCACATTTAGCCTCTCTCGGAACCATAAAACAGATTTGTTGGTCCCTTTTTGGTTTAGATTTCACAGTTCCATTGCACGTATGATTTGGTAGAAAACCACGTGCACTCGGGTGATGGGCTTCTGCACAGAGGGTTGTGTCTGCATCTGTATGCATATCTGTATGTGTGTGCGTGGGGATGCATGTGGGCATGCGTGTGTCCAGCTCAACCCACAGCCAGCTCCTGAGCAGGCATCTGAGCTGTGCTCCCCTCCACCCCCGGGTGAGGACACACAGTTTGGTGTGGTCAACCTACTGGAGATACGGTGAAGCAAGTTGGACAAGGAGGCCATAAAGGCTGGCAGAGGCCAACATGAAGGGCTTTGTGTACCTGGCTGAGGGGGTGAGACTTCCCATGGATGGTGGTGACAAGTGTCCTGGGATTTTGGCAAGGATCAGCCGGGAGGCTGTTTTAGGACGCAGGTGCTGAGGCCTTCTTTACTGCAGGGACGGGGGATGCCAGGGGGACATGCCAGGAGGTGGAGGAGGTGTCAGAGATGAGAGAGAGGTGCATCACTAGGCTGGGGAGCCCCTCCCAGCTCCCCCTCTGCCTGCCCTTCTGCAGCCTCACCCCAGCAGTCTTCTGCCAGTCCAGGTAACCATTTAGGGGGTCACTTTGGAACCAAGGCTAGAAGCCCTGGCTCAGACACCCCTCTCAATGCCTTCAGGGTCTTGAGGATCTGGAAGGTGGAGCAGCTGGGCAACCAGTGGATGCTTTGGTGAGTGTAGGCACCCTGCCCTTATGTAGGCTCTCACAGGATGGCAGTTAAAAGACCTGGAAGGAGCCCTGCAGTGGGAGTCGGGCCCTAGATCCTGGCCTTGCCACCTTCCTTTCTCCACATCTTGCTTTTCTCTTCTCTCTATCCCACTCACCGCTCTGGGGAGGTGTCAGCAATAGATGGATCTGGGTAGGAAAGCTCTGTGGAAGTGGGGGTGCTCCGAGGGAAGCAAAGAAGGGAGAGGTGCTGGCCTCTTCCAAGGAGAAGCTCAGGGAGCTCTCCACACAGGGAGGCTCCCTTCTTCCAGGCAGGGCCTGGGTTAGAGCCAGTAAGGCCTTGGTCCTCACTGACTGAGGCCCTCTGGCACTGGACTAGCACTCACAAGGGGTGGTCTTTGAGTTTTAAATGACTGCTGGTGTGCACAGTGCCCTGAGAGGTCACAGAACCAAAGTGAGCTGACCCACCCTGGGGGAGAGACCCCTCCTGTCTCAGACAAAAAAAAGGGCAGGATAGCCTGATCCCTCTGGATCTGGATCATGTGTGAGGGACATGATGAGGCCCAGACTGGGGTGGGGGAGAACCGGCTTGACTGCAGGCTAGGAATCTCTAGCTGAGTGAGAGAATTTGGGGTGTGCTAGGGGAGGAGAGGGGTCATGGAAGGCTGGGGGGATACTGACATGCCACTCAGGGTGTAGCCAATGGCCCAGGCAGGGTGCTGCACGAGAGTGGGGTCACGGAGCTGTGCTGAGCTGAGTCCAAGCCAGGAGGGGTGGTCTTGTTCCCTGGAACAGGGGTGTCTGGAGGTCAACAACTCCCGGGGAATCACTGGGGCCAGTCCCGAGGTTTATCCTCTCCCACTTTCCCTGACTTGGGCTGTCCTTGGGCCTGCCTGGGTTGGGCTGTGGCAAACCACCTGGGCCCTTGAGATCTGATGCCCATAGCTCTGATTCCACCTCTCTGTACATGTTGGTCCATCTGGGGTTGTTGCCTGCTCAGTTGAGGAGGCCGTGTTAGGGAAGAGGGTGAGGGAGAGTTGGGCCCCAGAAACAAGTGCTCCATCTGACCAGTCCTCAGGAGACAAATGTCCCCGGCAGCTCTGCCTTATGGGTCACTACCCATCATGACCTTGTACACGGATGGCTCCCTGGGGGTTCAGGGAGCTCTAGGACCTGGCTTTGCCCAAGCCAGATAGCCAGAGGCTGCACCCCAAGATGCACCCCACTGGGGAGCTCCCCCTGGGCTCTGCATACTCCCAACCTTTCCTGCCCCTCCTCTGGCAGCCAGAAGAGCCACCCTGCTTGCTTCTTTAGAGAAGTGTGAGCAGCACACTCTGTCCCCATGCAGCCCTGCCTCTCCATCCCCAGCTCCAGCTGAGAAGGGGGCGGGCTCCCCCAGCACTGGTTTCTGCCCCTTTCCATCCACTCCCACCTACCTGCCCAGCTTCAGGGTCTCTGGATCTCCTGGTAGCCTTGGGTCATCTCGTATAACTGCGCTTGTAGCCCTCATGCTGGAGCCAGGGCTCTGTCTCCACCTGTTCTCTTTCTCCCCCTGTCTCCCAGCTTTCCTCCCCCTCCAGCTCAGGAAGCTGACCACAGGAGCATCTGGGCTCTGGCCTGAATCCCTACTGTTCACTACTGTGGGTAAAGCTGTCCTGGGGATCCTATTTTGGGGGAGCTGGTCAGAGGGAGAAGCGCCCCTCCCCACATGTGGCCCTATGGGGCTGGCGGTCAGGAGCTGGGGGTGAAACAGCCAGCCTGTGGCAGGGGGCAGATCGCTCCTTCTCTGCCCACACCCCCCAACCTGGGCAGTGGGAGCAGCCCAGCACATGCCTGACCAGCAACCCAAAGCCCAGCAGGGACAGGCACTTTAGGGGTCACAGCCCCGTGGACAGCGCCTCTGCTACCACCTGGTAACCTCACAGCCACAGCCCTGCCAGAGGCAGTGTTCAGTGCCCCGGACTCCAGGACGGCATACACTCAGACCTTCAGGTGTGGCTATTCCTGCAGCCTAGCCCCCTCCCCCCTCTCCCGCCCACGTCCCCATCAGCCCAAGACCACCCGCAGAAGCCAG